ATGCTTTTGAGTTATGGTGTTGGAGGAGAATATTGAAAGTGCCATGGGCTACCAAAAGAACCAGTAGATCTGTTTTGGAAGAAGTGCAGCCAGAGTGCTCCTTGGAGGCCAAGATGGCAAAACTTTGTCTCTTATACTTTGGACATATTATTGTCAGGAGGGACCAGTTGCTGGAGAAGGAAATCATGTTTGGGAAGGTGGAGGGTCAGAGAAAACGAGGAAGACCCCCAACAAGCTGGCCAAGTGGCAGCATATATGGACTCAAGCATGGCAACAGTAGTGAGGTTGGCCCAGGATCGGGCAGTGTTTTGTTCTGCTGTGCATAGGATCACTATGAGTTGGTATTGATTCGGTGGCACCTAACAACAACAACAATGTATACATCTATATCTATATCTATTTAGATAGATAGATAGATAGATAGATATACACACACAGACACACACATGAATTCTTTTTCTACTTACTTATAACTGAAATTGTAGCATATACTATTTTGTACTTTTTCCCTAAACAGTTCATACATAAAAAATGTACATTCTTTTTTATATTTGCATGGTATTATCTTTTATAAATATATCATAATGTCTTTTTCAGTTCCTATTTATAGACTTTTACAAGGGCGTTTCAAAAAGTTTGTGGAAAAATAGGTTGGGAAATGTTTGGATGTATATTCTTTTTCTAATTATTAAAGTATGGACTAAACTGCTATAACAGGGAGACCTAAAATACTGTGGCTCTTAATTGTTTTGTCTCTAATAGCCCTTAGGAAAATGATTGAGGGCTGGCAGAGCATCTCAGATCTTGAGATCTTGCACAGATTATAGTTTCCTTCTCTCATGCTAGAGGAGTCCCTTAGAGTGTGGCCTCACCAGCAATGCTGAAGCTGCTTCATGAGCACATCTATTGAAGAAGGAAAGAATGCTAAAGGGAAACAGCATCCTTATATAAACTGGAAGTTCCATATACTCATATGCATACTTGTATCCCTCTGGTCAAAACATAGTACCATAGCCACATCTAGCTGTGAAAAAGGCTAGGAAATTTGGGGGTTCTATTAGCAAAACTAGGCAAAGAAAGGGGACAGATTACACTCTCTGTTATACTGAACTAGATTGAGCATCTTTTCACATGTTTAAGATCCATTTGTATTTCATTTTCTGTAACTTGTTCATCTCCTTTATCAATTTTTCTTTTTGATTATTGGATTTATCATATTAATTTATACAAACTTTTCATGTTGCTTGTTTTTCTTGGCTATTAAACTCAGTTTACTCTTTGTTGGTTTTCGATAACAATGAAAGGTTTTTGTTTTTTTTACATGATGTAAAAATTATTCTAAAGGTCATATTTTATGTCTTCAACAGATTACCCCAGCTATAACAAATTATGTAACTGACAAACTAGGGAAAAAGTTTGTAGAGCCTCCACCATTTGATTTGGCAAAGAGTTACTTGGATTCAAATTGCACTATTCCCTTAGTCTTTGTGCTATCCCCAGGAGCCGATCCCATGGCTAGTAAGTGAATATTTACTGTAAAAATTTAAAGAATTTTAGATAAGACATCTTGCTCAATATACATAACTTATATAGTTCTAAATCAATTTAAAAATCCAGTTTCTACAGAGAAAAGTAACTAGAATTTTTCTCAATGAAATACCTAGACACTGAAATCATGAAACATATATGTTAATTATAGAATTATTTGTGAAATGTTTGTGTGTGTGCCCATTCTAGGCCTGCTGAAATTTGCAAATGACAAAGCTATGTCTGGAAATAAGTTTCAAGCTATTTCATTGGGACAGGGACAAGGACCAATTGCTACAAAAATGATTAAAGCAGCTTTAGAAGATGGAACTTGGGTTTGCCTGCAGAATTGTCACCTTGCTGTCTCTTGGATGCCCATGTTGGAAAAAATATGTGAAGATTTTGCTTCTGAAACCTGTAACTCTTCCTTTAGACTTTGGCTCACAAGTTATCCTTCTCCTAAAGTATGTTAATTTCCCACGGAGTTCAGTACATTTATTTATCTGTTAGACTATGTATCTTAAGTTTTAAATACTTAAATTTATTACTTTTCTTGGTATATTTTTGGAGTCTTCCTTTATATGCATGTTTTGTAGTCTATCAGTATATGTATTATTAGGGCCTAAGCTTTCTACCTTGTGTAATATTCTCAATTTATTTTGTCTTAGTTTCCAGTAACAATTCTGCAGAATGGCGTAAAAATGACAAATGAACCTCCCACAGGTCTTCGACTGAATCTCCTTCAATCATATCTCACGGATCCAATTTCTGATGAAGAGTTTTACAAAGGATGCCCTGGAAAGGAATTGGTAATTAAGAACTTTAAAAATGTGTTTCTAAGAAAATATGAAAAATAAATTTTTTTAAATAGTAATATTTTAAACTTTGGCATTTTCTAACAAGAAAGAAATTGTAACTATTTTGTTTATCATTTTATTCTCAATATTTTATGTTCTACTTCCCATATAGGAGCTCTGGTAGCGTAGTGGTTACGAATCGGGCTGCGAAC